CTGGTAATTTCTTAGGAATCAGTGGTATTCCGGAATTTCAATTCCATAAAGTTCTCATCTGTCGAATGCTGGATCTAAGCACAGGAACACCACTGATTCTCATCTAGTCTGCAAGAGAAACTGTGGAGTAAGTTCCTTGACTCCTCAGCTCAGACTAGGAGCTTAGTAAGACTCATGTTGCTATTTTCCCAGTTGCTTCTGAGGAACAATGCTGATTTGTATACTGACCAGAGCTCAGAGTTGACTTTCTAATAGAACTGTTCTCCTTCTCTTGTCCAGTCTGTCTTGTGACTAATCCTGCACATTTACAGGACAGTGGTGCAGCCTGTGGCATGAAACAGAGCAAAGCCAACTGAACCACTAGGGGACTGAACCTTTACCCTGGGCTCATTAGCTCCATTCTTAAACCAGGGTAGCCAAACAATCAGTTAATTAGTGCTTCACTTGGCAGCAGGGGCCAGACTCATGTGTTGATCTAGTCCAGACCCAGGGAAGTATATCAAAAGAACAGAGTGGCAGCTGTTAAGAGTAAGACTCATTTATGTCCATTAGGCAGCAGTGAGTTTGCACCAACTCTTTGCTTTGCACTGGACTTTAGCATCACCAAGTCTTTTTTTAAAAAACACGACTATTAGTTATGTATAGTTACAAGAGACAGGTATGTGTTCCTTTTAACATATGCAAGATTTTCTCTTTAACTTTAATCATACTGCGTGTCTCCTTCTGCAACTAGAATTTATGGTTCAACATTTGGTTGAGATTCACGTTATTTAACGTAATTTATTCACTGCTATTTTGGTTCCACTCTAGGGCTGTATAAGAATTTATCCTGCCGTGATGGATGTGATTGGGCCTAGCATTTTGCTATTATAGCTGTGCTGCTATGCGTACTCCTGTGCATGTCTCCTTGGTGTGCATGTGCAAGTTTCTCCAGGGTACATACATTTTAGGAGTGGAACTGCTGGATCATAAGATCCATCTTTAATTTTATCAGATGATGACAATGTTTCTAAAGTGCTCTGTATAAATTTATACTCCCACCAGCAATAAATACTTTAGTGATCCCAAAACCTGGCTGATACTTGATGTTTTTAAATTTTAAATATTTCCACTCAGGTGGTAAGTGCAAAGCTGCACTTTAATTGTATCTCTTTCCATTTTCCTGAATATTAGTGAAATTGACTAGTTTTGCATAGGTTTATTGGCTATTTTGGGCCTCCTCTTGTTGAGTGCCCATACAGCTTTTGGATTGATCAGCGAGAGAGTAAAGAGAAGAGAAAGTGCATGTATGTTTATATTCTGGATGCTAATCCTGTCAATTTTGTGTTGCAAGTATCTTCTCCCAACTGGATTTGCCATTTTACTCTTTATAGTATCTTTATAGTTACTCAAGTAGTCAGTTTTTTGTTTATTTTTTGTCTTAAGACACATCACCTTTCCTGATTCCAATGCCATACCTTTTCCTCCATCATTGTTTAAGCTTTATAGTTTTGTGTTTCACATTTACGGCTTTATACTCTATTTTGACTTGATTTCGACTATTGCATAACATACAAGTTAGTGGTCCATATTGTTGTTTCTAAAGGATAACCACTAGTTCACCATTCACTGTCAAGTCCACCCATTTCCCATGGAGCCGCAGTGCTGGCTCTCAGGAATCAAGTTTCCATACATGTGCATGCTTATTTCTGGGGTCTCTATTCTGACTTTCACTGTTTTCTTTATTCTTAGGCCAACAGTAGGAGATCTCGTGGTGTGAAGCTTAAGCACACAACCTCTAACCAAAAAGTTGGTGGTTTGAACCCATCTGGTGGTCTGTGGGAGAAAGACCCTGTGATCTGCTCCCATGAGGAGTTCACCCTAGAAAATCCTATACAGCAGTTAACAATGTCACATGCAGTTGCTATGAGTTGATTGACTCATCAGCATCTAACAACATTACACTTTGAACATACAGAATTCTTGCTGTCTGGTAAGGCTAGTCTTCCCTGCCCCTGACCTGTTGTTCTTTAAGTCTTTGGCTATTCTTGGCCCTCTGTCTCCTGGACTAGGATAAATGCTATCCATCTACCAAATGCTCTATATAAGAGCTAAATGAATTTGCAATTAGGCAAGGAAGGCAGAAAAAGGTTCTGATCAGTAAGCCTGAGAGAAAATGTGCTTACTGAATTTTACTTGGTCATAAAAACAAAGCTCACAAAATTTAGATCTGAAGTGAGAATTTAAGCTCATAAAAGATGTTTTCTTATCATGCAATATCTACAAATTTTATTAATACAAATGTGATTTTAAACCTATTTAGTTGTGCTGTTTTTATCAAAAATTTAATTAACATTGAACTTGGACCACTTCTCTGAGCTGTAATACAGATAATGCCTGCCCACTGAGGCCACATGAGGACTATAATTAGATCTCTTGAAATAATGGTCTCAAATTATTTTAAGTGCTTGTAATTTTTAGTAGATATGCAGGGCCATGCACAAATATCAAAAGGGAAACTCAACGGAGGGTGTGTAATGTGCTGATAACTGTTTACTAAGGGAACAGAGAATTTTAATGTACACATTCAGCCTGGGAAAATTTGTATTGTTTATTAAATAAACCAGAGAAAACAAGAGAGGAATCAGCACAGTGGGAAATAAGGTCACCAGATAGGCCTTTCTGCTACTGCTTCCTGTGCTGGCAGCTTTGCAGTCCACTCTGAGAACTTCATTCTCCTGACCCAGATCACAGAGTTCCCATTTCCTGTGACTTGTCTCTACCACCTCCCCCATTCTTGAGTTGCCAAATCCTAAGCAGTTCAAACAGAGATAAAGACAGTTAATTTGTTGAAAAGCACAGAGCTCTTCAGTAAACAACTTCTTCCTGGATATCACTCAGTTCAGATGACTGGAACTTTATCGGAGTAAGAACTGAATCAACTTACTGTACCATGTCTGTCAGGTCTACACCCATACGAAGCTGACTTATCCTTGCCTTTCTCCTGCAACTAGACAGCTACAAAAATGTTCTTCTTTTTCTTTTTTTCTTTTGGGGTGTGTGTGGGACAAGATTTTTCAATTAGTATCTATCTACCTTTTTAGAATTTATAGATGGCAACTTATGCAAGGTCATGCATTTAGGGGAGATACTTGTTAAGTATCAATGATGATAATGTGCTATAAAGGGATGGGTTTTAAGAAGCCCTGTTCTCATGTTCTGTGAATTATCCAAGTACTGGAGATGCTACCATGTTTTTAGGGAGCTCTGGTAGCGTAGTGCCTAAGGCACTTGACTGCTAACCAGAAGGCTGGCGGATCACACCGAAGGAAGGTTGGGCAATCTACTTCCGTAGTGATACCGCCTCGAAAATCCAAGGAAAGGGTCACCATGAGCCTGGTCAGACTTGACGGCATATAACAGCAGCAGCAGTAGCCTAAAAACAGCATCCCTTATGAAACTTAATTGTAGGAAGCAGAAAAAATTATGAAAGTCACTCCTTTATATATGTATTCCACAGGTTCAGAAAAAGGTTTGAGTAAATACATTTTACTGAGAAGCTACATAATGCTTCACATAGGTACAGTGCTGAGTACTGTAAACATTTTATTTAACTCTGTGTATTTCTCTAGATAAAATAAGCATCAGGAACTTGTTCAAGATCAGCTACCTACCTAGTTAAGAAATCTGAACTCAGGTTGGTCTTATCCTACTACCTTACTAACGATAAACTAATTAACAGTTAAAAGTGGGAGAAAAACCTTAAACACACATTCAGTAAGACTTGTAACATGAAAGATCAAAACTTAAAGTATACATAAGAAAGAGACAATCTGTCCACATCTTGGCTTGTGTAAGAGGGAAGGGTCAAACACTGCAAGCGGCTTTCTTTCTACAAAGTTCATGTTCTCTAGTTCCCTGACTTCTGAAGTTCAAGGTTGTGTAAAAAATAATCTGTACCAAGTTAAGATTACTGATTAATTACCTCAGGGCTTCCAGCAGGTCTCTTTTTTGCTGATTTATGAGAACTGAGTTGGAAGGGACTTTGGTGTCCTGTCTGTAGTGCCTTCATAGACACATGAAATTGAGGGCAGAAACCAGAACCCAGGTCTTTTGAGTCTGCATCCAGTGTTCTTAGTGACCCATGGTGTTTCTCGAGTGGCCCCACCAGAATCATTAGAGCTGTAATACACCCAGTGTTGTACCACGGCTAGACTAACCTTGAAATCACTGGGAAGGCAGTGGGGCAAACCAGAGCCAGAGAAATCAGTGAAGAGGCCATTATCATTTGTGTGGAGGCAGTGGGACTACAAAGAACTTGGGCATGCCATAGACGGAATGAAATATATTTCAGGGCTTTTAGCAAGTGATTATAGTTGTTGGTGACTTGTACTTCAGATGAGGAAAGAAAATATATATATGTCTTTTCAACCATAATGGGAAAGAGCTCTTGGAGTATAGTCTAACACAATACGACCTCAGAGTACAAAGCGAGCACAAGAGTGCGGTCGGAGCTTTAAGAAGCTGCCGCTCTTCAGGCACAGGACTAAGACCTGGATTTGGGTGAATGTAACAGCAGTGACAAGGCACAAGGTTGTATGAGGGAAAAACCAACAAGACTTGGCCTCAATGAGTGCAAAGGGTAAAGGAGAAAAGTCCAGGACTGAAATTTTGCATATATGAATAGCGCTAACAGTGAGTGAATTGGTAAATGTGTTGAATGGGTTTGTTTTAACCAAGAATTGTTTTGCTATTGGAAGTCAGCAATGTCTGTTCATCTGTCAAATTTCTTGTTTATAACTAATTTCTAACATTTAGATAGTCATTAATTTTTAAGTATTCAGAAAAACAATGGGTTTCTATTTAAGTGGGAAAATCTATCAGAGAAATAAGTATCTATCTTGTGACACTTTGAATATTCACAACACAAGAGCTAGGCAAAGCATTTCTAAAAGGCAGAAATTAATTTCTGCAAAGTTAATGCTATGTAAACAGTAAAAATAAGTACAAAAAGAAACAAGTATTAAATAAAAGGTATTTATTTTATTTAAAATAAAATGCATTTATACAGTCTTAAACCATGGATTATTGAACAACACTGGTAATCCACCCCTTCCTGGCACCCTTTGGGCTATTGTGAGCTAGGAATTTTCTGACTAGCACCAATGCAGATTGTAATAGCGCAACAGACTAGAACAGGGCCAGTCCAGGCATTAGAGTTAATTTAAAGACATGTGGCAAATCATGACTATAATGAAGTCATTCTTAATTTAGCAGATATTAAAATTGCATATAATTGCTACCAAATTGATATTTATATCTTTTAAAAGCATTTAATTAATGCAAAGATGCTATTACCCAAGCCACTTGCTAGTTTTAATTTAAAAAAAAAACTGTACAATTTTATAAAATTTGTGTTTGTACATTAGTTACATAAAATGCATACTTCATAGACCTTTACTTCATATTGTATGTAAAAGTTGCATATTTTAGGCAGACAGTGAATATGCTGGTGAATACTAAAAGTGTTGTAATACAATATGGTGTAAGATAAAAACACAAAACAATATACATGCTTACTGAAGAATAAAAACAAACGAAGCATAACGGACTAAAAGCATTTTCCTTCAAGGTCAAACAATGACATTATTAAATAATAGGCATCTTTTGCAGGCCTGATTTAAGTGTGTGTGGGGGAATCAAATGGCTAGCAAAAGTAAGATATTTTAAAACATGAGGTCAAATTAAACATATTAAAACACATGCATAAAACATGATAGACTTCATATAGTTTAAGCCCTGGATAGCTTTAAAGTAGATGGCTTGAGTTTCTTACAGTTTGGCTAGCTTAAATCAGTGATGTTTTGTTTCCAACTTGCCCACTACTTTAGCTTTCAACTCATGGCCCTAAGGAATGTGTGCCACATTCAATAGTCCATATATTGTATCATGATAGCAGATTAATAGTTGTGCTTGTTAGTGCACATATTAACTGGTTTGGAAAGGCAAAATATTTTCATGATAAAATAATAGTAATTTTCAAGCTTACTTTATTAAGCAGCATATAACAATAGCTTTTAAAGTTAAATATGGCCATGGAGTTTCATTACACAGTATTTCCTATTCACACCCAACCACTAGTGAGTTTGTAGAACATTTCTTCATCTAAACTCTCATTTTGGTCTTTTGCACGTGTTGAGAGAAATATGTAGCCACCAATGAATTCATGAACCACTTTGCAATCTACTTCAGTACAAATGAAGGACAATCGTACTTCATCTGCAAACTCTACCGTGACCTGGAACAAAGACAAAGAACTATCAGGCCCAGGAAGACTTGAGATAGCTGGGCCCAACTGAAGCTACTGTGTTGTTTTAGGTCTATCACAAAATGCTTCTTGACACTCAAATAATTACTCTTTTTCAAAATCCTAAACCAGTAATGCCTTCAAGTGCAAAGGAAAGAAAGTTTACTAACCCTCCCCCCGCCTGCCTTCAAGGACTGAAATGTTAACGGATTTAGGTCATTCAGTTCCTAAGTAGTCTCTGCTGATTCAATTAAATCCTGGGAGAAAACCTACTTCCTGTGTTTAATTTAATGTTTTAGATATTTAACCTTTAGGTGTCATATTTCATTCCAGAAATATGAGATTCTATGAAGTGATAGAAATTGATACAACTAACCCAATATGACCCTAAAACAAATGAAAACTAATTAGTAAAGATTCTATTTATTTGAAATGATCTTGCACATATTCCAAAGCTAGGGGCAACATGGTATATAGTGGTAACTTTGCTAGGTTTTAGAGCCCAAAACATCTAAATTTAAATCCTGACTCTGTTACTTACCAAGTGGTCACAGATACACATAACCCTAAAACCAAACCCACTGCCACTGAGTTGATTCCAACTCTCTAAATTTTAGTGTCTTCAATTGTAAAGAAGGAATAATCCATCTACCTTGCAAGGTTGTGGCAAGTTCTAGACATAGGGTATAATATGTAAAACATCTACTTCCATGCCTGGTTATAGGCTGGTGGATTTGAACCACTGCCCTTCTGGTTAGCAGTCAAATGCTTTAACCCTATACCACTAGAGCTCCTTTCATTCTATAAATACCCAACCCACTGATATTGAGTCGTATCCGACTCATGGCGACCCCTCCTTGGGTTTCCGAGGTGGTATCACTATGGAAGTAGATTGCCCAACCGTCCTTCTGAGGAGTGGCTGGCAGGTTTGAACCACCAGCCTTCTGGTTAGCAGTCAAATGCCTCAGGTACTACGCTACCAGAGTTCCTATAAATAGTAGCTGCTATTTGTCAGTAGAAGGAGGGATTGATCCATGACAGAAACCAAAACCCAAACCAAACCCACTGCCATCGAGTCAATTCTGACTCACAGCAACCCCACTGGGTTTCTGAAGTGGTAAATCTTTACAGAAGTAAATTGTCCAGTCTTCCTTCTGTGGAGTGGCTGGTGGTTCAACCACCAACCTTCTGGTTAGCAGTCAAACGCCTTAAGCACTACGCCACCAGATCAGGAAATATTCTAAGCAAATCATGTCTTTATAATTTCAATAACTGAGTTAGTTATGAAACAAGTTTAAATGAGGAAAGGAATAACCACAACCATGTTCTATAGTGTAAGGGACACAAAAAATGTTTGGACTTCATAGGCTTTTTTAAAATTTACTAATTTTTATCTAAAGGACTACTTATGTATTCAAGTAACATCGTAACTAGCTTACCATTTTTATTTCCCAGTTTACATTCCACTGTTTCATGTTGCTGAAGCGCCATGTTTTAATTGCATCTCCTGTGCTGGCATCCATCCTAATCAGTCTGTTGTATGCAATTCCAATAAGCTCTTCTTTTTTTCCCCCTTGGAACCTATAACACCATTAAAATACATGCTAGTCTTTTTCTTCAAGATGTCCTTTTTAACTCTAAATAAGTACTAGTAAAAAACAGAAATACAATATAGCTTTTAATGTAAAAAATGTTAAATATAGAGAATACATTCCAAAATTCTTTAAATTTTACTGTAATATAGGTTAATAGCTCCAAGTAGGTATACTTTTAAAGTGTTTGATTTCTAATTATGTGAAGTAGATATGTGAAAATTCACAGAATAAGGTTTACATATAGATGCTTAGTAAAATCACTGACCTTGCGATGAAGTGTGTGATACCAAATTCTGGCAGAGACTGCCAAGCCTGGATAAACCTCATCTTGGCTTCAATTAGACTCATCTGAGCTACATTTTGATGGGCTTCCAAGATTCTTGCTGTTATCTAAACATGATTAAATACCATCTTTACCATTAGACAGAATGCTTTCATGGTAGAATCAAGATAAAAAGAACTTGAAAAGACTGAATTATGCACCTCACCAGTCTTCAAATCATGTATTGCAAAAGTTAGAGAATATTTGATAAAGTAATGACTTAAAAAATAAACTGTCTGATATATTTCTTAACTTTAGTTTCCACACATCAAGAAACAATACTATTAGAAGTATGTAACTGCCACTCTTAAAACACACTAAATATACACATATATATGATGCTATTATATAAAACAGTATACACTAATCCTGATATACATGAGTTTTAATTAAAATATGAGTTTTAAATTTAGCTTCAAGATAAATGTTCAGAATGACCTAAAATATTAGCTTCTAGCAGGAATATGTTAGCAGCTTTAAAGTATCTGAAATCACCATAAACCTGTACCTGTTGCTGTCAAATTGATTCTGATTCCTAGTGAATCTTTACAGAAGCAACTACCACATCTTTCTACCTGAGTGGCTGGTGGATTCAAGCTGCCAATCTTTCAGTTAGCAGCTGAGTGCTTAACCAATGTACCACCAGTGCTTGCCATAATAAAGACATTTTTCTAAGAGAATATTATTATTAGGTTACATCAGGCCAATTTTGACTCCCATGGACCCCATGTGACGGAGTAGAACAGCTCCACAGGGTTTTTTAGGCCACAGTCCTTCTGGGAGTAGAATACCAGATCCTCCTCCTGGGAAGCCTCTGGTTAGCAATCCTTTCGTTAGGAGCCAAATGCTTAACCAATGTGCCACCAGAGCTGCCTTTAACAATCATTACAAAAGTTAATATTTAAATTATATTCATTTTCGGATGACTGTTCCCACAAGAGAAGGGAAAGGATTAACTAATCTGTGAGGGGAGACAGTGACTAAGCCTTTAAACATTTTTATTTTGTTTTTGGTAAATGTGGAGAACTTACCAAATCTCTTATATAGCCTGGCTGTAGATGGCAGTGCGAGGAAAGAAAAAGAAAGCAGAAAGACAAAAGAAAAAAAAAAGGGCAATCAGAAAAAATGGCAATGAAGCAAAAGAAAAAGTTGTAGTCACCTGCAAACCAAAATTCCAGCCAAAAACCATGCAAAAAATTACTTCAGATGGAAACCAAGCAAAGTAAAATGCAAGCATGAAAATGAAAATGAGAAAGCAGCAATTACTCCCAATTCAGAATATTGAGAAACACTCCACGTTATTTTAGAATGTTAAGAGTTATATAAAATTGAGGGTAGACATTTGTAGGCAGAAAACAGCAAATAACCTCTCCCCTGCTTACATACCAGTTCTTACTCGTCAGGGTAAAGCTAGTTATTTTAGTAGCAAAACCAAAATTAATATTCAAAAGCCTTAAACATCTTCTTAGATTTAGTGACAGATATGATCCATGCACTGATTTTCAGAAATAAGTAGCAGTAGAGGGCAAAAAATAAGTGCAATGACCATACTATTTACACAAGAAATGCAAACTCCTCAATTACCATCTGCTTTTTACATCCTTTTTCCTGGAAAGGAAAATAAAAGAGATGCCACACACTACACTACAAACTGTGGCTAAAATGTGTTAGTCCATCCCAGTCTGAATTAACATAGATTAAAAATTTTTAAATTCAACTGAGAGTCATACTCATTTAAAAATACCCACAGCAAATAATGAACACATGTATGCCGTTAGCTGCCTTCCAGTCAGCCTCTGACTCGGCATCCCCATGCACAACAGAATGGCCCCTGCCCAGTCAGGCCCTGTCCCCATGAACTGGAGGGAGTCAGGCTGTCTGATCCACAGGGTGATTTTCCAGTAGACTGCTGGGCCTTCTTCCCTAGTCCATCTTTGTCTGGAAACTCAGTTGAAACTTAGTAGTGTAGGGAAGTGCATTAGCTAGGAATACCTGTAAAGTCTTAGAGAACTAAGATTAAATATTTCAAAACTCACACCGATAGTTCCAAAGAAATGGAGATTCTGCTCTAGAGTAGATGACTAACCCTACTGCCCATTCATCTTCTGACCCTAGAATACCACTGGATTCAGTTGAACAATTATTGAGCACTATGTCCACCAACCAGCACAGCATCTGACACGTTTTGTTGTTTGGTTCCATCCAGTCAGCTCTAACTCACAGAGACACTGTGTACAACAGAATGAAACTGCCTGGTTGTGCACCATCCTCACACTCATTGCTGTGCTTGAGCTCGCTGTCACAGCCACTGTGCCAGCCCACCTCACTGAGGGTCTGCCCCTTTTTCGCTGACCCTCTACTTCACCAATCAAGATACCCTTCTTCTCCAGGGACTGGTCCCTTTTGACAACATGCCAAAGTACTTGAGACGATGTCTGGCCATTCTCACTTCTAAGGAGCATTCCAGCTGTACTTCTTCTAAGACAGATATGTTTGTTCTTCAGACCGTCCATGGTATACTCACTATTCCTTGCCAACACACAATTCAAAATGCATCAATTCTTCTTCTATCTCCCTTACTAACTGTCCAGTTTTCAAATGCATATGAGGCTACTGAAAATACTATGGCTTGGATCAGAAGCACCTTAAGTCTCCAAAGTGACATCTTAGCCTTTTAACACTTTAAAGAAGGCCTTTGTAGCAGATGTGCCCAATGAAACACACCATTTGATTTCCTGACTGCTGCTTCCTTGAGCACTGATTGTAGATCCAAGTAAAACGAAATGCCTGACAACTTCTATCTTTTCTCCATTTATCTGACACACAGTAGCAAGTAAACCTCTAACTATCAACACTTACAGTTGTGCAGAGAGGGTACTGGCCACATATTACTGCCCTGGCACCTACAGAGTCTAGTCAGGGAAAAGGAGATAAAAAGAATTTCTGTGCACTTCTTAAGATGTGGAGGTGGAAGATAAGGCCAGCATCATCCTGAAGCATGGACCACACACATATTGCCCTCCCATCAGTCAAAGATGAGTAAAACATTATCTTTGTCCTCAGGAGAATTTTTGTTCACAATCTAGCCCAGAACTCAGATTAAAAACTACCACTTTAAAGTGAAACTATCATTTCAAAGGCTTCTGGCAGAACAAGTCAATATGTATCTTTGACAGCCAAACCAACATTTGGCAGTCCTCACAACTGCACTATAAGCTCTTGTTTTCTGGTAGTTGATAGTGAAATGATAAAATTGCTAAGATTTGAAATGATTCGTCTTTGAAGGCAAATGAATTCACTTTTACAAACAAGTTTCTTTACAAGTAACTTAAGTGAAATAACTAAAATAAAAAATGAAATTAGTACTCGATTCACTTTCCCTTTTTACCTTACAAGCTACATTCCACAGAACTCCCCAGGGTAGCATTTGCTCCACTCCCTGGTGCTCCCACATGTATGGCTGTGGGATAAACAATTTCCATGTAGCTTACACAACCTCTGAAACCTAAAGACAAATACTTGTGGCTAAAACTTCTAAAACAATTCCAACTAAATGGGCTTAGATGCATATAAATTAACATATTTATAGTATATTAAGGAATTAAAGTTTTGGGTATTTCATTATGCTTTGTCATTATGTTTAAAAATGATTCTTTTAAGATAAAAAATGAATCTAGATAAAAACAAAATACTTATTTTAAAAGTCATCTTTTTTTCCTTGAAATAAAACCTTTTTCCTTTTATGGCATGATGTTTGATGTGGAGAATACCAAGGGCTATCTCAAGTGTAATTTCCCTGCAAAGGGCCTTTTATGTTGCACTCAAGAACCATTTTTCTAAATAGCAATCCTTATATGGTATTAATTTCCAGAAAAAGAATTCTAAAAAGAAGAGACAAAAGCAGTGAATTTCAATGAGATAATTTACCAAACTCTGTCACCTGATACAAATCCTGGTTAGGTTCTGATTGCTGATATTAAGAATGACCATGTAAAAATGGAGTAAATGTATCCACCCCTGTAAAGCTTATTTCCAAAGCTAGAAAAGTCCATTCAGACAGCATGAATAGGTTTTGTAGATTTATTGGGAAATGTCAACTATGTTTTGTATCACCTTAATTATGTAAGGAATAAAATTAAATAAATTAAATTTAAGACAATATTCAACCTCCTAAATGTTTCAAAATGTTTGATTTCTTTAGGTTGTTTAGAATAAATATGCTTCCTGCCACTATAATTATTTTTGAAAAAATGACCAATTGAAACTGACTTAAGGCTATTTTCCTAACTACTTCATATAGAATTAAGACTAAAGTTTTAAGAAGGAAAACTAAGTTTGCATATACATGCAGTCATAAGACAAATCAGTAGAAAATTACAGATGAAGTAAAATGAATTGGGTACCTGCTTGTTCTTGTACTTCTTCAGATAGCGAGGAGACACCAGACACTCAGGGTTTATATCAGTTGTGATCTGCTCTGGTATTAACTGAGGATCTGGGTTTAAATGCTGCATCTTCAGAAAGGAAAGAATGTTCTGAACTTCTAAGTTGTAGGAACTGTCTGCCATGGTCTTGCCTTTGGAGGCTAATCTGCAAGCTGCCATCCAGTGTGCATACTGCTTTTCCTGTTGAAAATAAATACCGACGTGTAACATCTATCTGATGGGTCTTTTGACTATAAAATTAAGAATGACTGGTCAATTCATTTAGGAATCAAAGAAAAAGTAGGCTTTATATTTTAGTCGGAAAACTTACATTGTCACAACGAAGCCAGATTTCATTCATGCCCTCTGCAACTGGAATCAGGAGTTTAATGTTAAACTTTTGGCCTGAAATGTTTACATCTGGGGTAACTTCACATCCTGTAATTTGAAGAAATTAATTATTAAAACACAATCCAATTTGCTTTTAAGAAATTTCAAATCAATATAGATAACTTTTATTTCATGGTATCTTAGTAACATGTTCAATTTTGCTGTTATAGAATCTAAATCAAAGAGTAAATTCTTCATAGTCATTTTTTTATGTGAATTATTTGTTAAATGCAAACATTCCATTCTGATCACTAAGCCTCTTCAAATTCTTTGAGGGACTCTGTCCCTGAAAACCCCTCCTGCTCAACATATTCCTCTTCTGTACCTTGTTTTTACCTCTCCCTTCTCCAGCCTGGATATCATTTACAACTATTGTTAGATTGAACTGTCTTGTCATTATATCCACTTAGCAAAACACTGACCCTAGCTCAATTTAACCATCCATCTTTTACTTGTTGGTACTTAAGCTGCTTAGCATTGCAAGAGGGAATTAAAGAAAAAAAAGAAACAAACACCCCCTCCCCCAAAGCTAAGCAGATAGGTCTCACTAGAAATTAATGGAGTCCAACTCGCCTGTCCCTGTTCTACACTAGCATCCCTTCTGTGTTTACAGAGACATTCTCAGGAATGTCTATTTCAAATCTTCTACAATGCCACTCACTCTTAGAACAATCTCACCTCTTCTCAAAGAAAATGAGAGACATCCGAAGTGATGTCCTCCAGTGTTCTGCCACACCAGTAAGACTAGTTGTCTTTGCTTCCACACAGTGACATCCCTCCCTCCTAAGGCTCTCCTATCCTGGGGGCCTCTGAGTCTATGCACCATCTCAGGAATCTTACTCCATCGAGGAGATGCTCTCTCTCCTGGGTATTAGATTTATTTCTCTTCATTGTCATTTTTCCACTGGCCTTTGAGTCTCTCCAATTTTAAACACAAAATACCTCCTTCTTCCACTTTACTCTTGCCCTTTCCCTAAAAAGCAGTCTTTGTTTCTTATTTACTTCTCAATGACTATACTTTGGCTTCCATACTCAAGACTACATTGGACTTCATGCTTTGTGCAGCAAAGGACTTTATCAAGGAAATGAAGACAGAATGGGAGAAAATATTTGCAAATCATGTATCTGATAAGGGTTTAATGCCCAGAGCAAATACAGTAGTCCTATAACTCTGTAACAAAGAAAAATAACCCAACTGATTTTTTTTTTTAAAGGAGATTCATTTTACTCTCAACAGTTCGTGCACATCTGGTTTTGTGGCCTCAATTACAGTCCCAACAATGAAAAGTTCCCCTCCCTCTGACTACCTTTTTCCTTTTGCCCTTCTCAGCTATGCATTCTTGTTTCTCCAGACTACCTTTTTCCTTTTGCCCTTCTCAGCTATGCATTCTTGTTTCTCCAGCTTTCCCTCTATGTAAATGCTGCCCTTCCAATGTATCATGGTTGACTGATCTAAAGGGTGCATCTCCCTGGGGCAGATGTTCTGCTTGTAGGCCTTTCTACTGTTTGGCTCAGAGCTAATCCACAGAATTGAGTCCAGTTCCAGGCCTGAAGGATGACCCAGAGCCATAGTCTCGGGGGTTCCACCATTCTCTATCTGACCAGTAATTCTGGTCATTTTTGTGTTTTTGAATTTTGTTTCACATTTTTCCTCCCACTCTAACCAGGATCTCCAATTCTGATCCCCTTCAAAGTGGTTGGCACTGGTAGCCAGGTACCACCTAGTTCTTCTGGTCTCAGGGTCATGAAGGCTGAGGTTCCCGTGGCCCATCATATCCTTGGACTAACTGCTTCCATATGACTTTGATTTTCTTTACTCTTCTTTGCTCCAGACAAGAGGAGACCAATAATTGCATCTTAGATGGCTGCTCAAAAGCTTTTAAAACCCCAGTCGCTACTCACCAAAGTAGGAAAACAACACAATTTAAAAAATGGGCTAAGAACCGGAATAAACCTTTCACCAAAGCAGACATACAAATGGCTAACAGGCACAAGAAAAAGATGCTCAATATCATTAATCATTAAAAACCAGACCAAGTGTTGTTGACTCCAATTCATGGCAAACCCACGTGTTTCAGAATAGAACTGTGCTCCAAAGGAGTTTTATCCTTCATTGTTGTGAAAATATATACAATAAATGTTCACAAGCCAGTAATTTCTACATGTACAATTCAGTGACACATACTATATTCTTCATATTATACAACCATTATTGCTATCCTTTTCCAAATTATTCTAGCACCATTAACATAAACTCAATACTCCTCAAGTAAAAACTCTCCTTGCTCCATTCCCTTCCTCCCACCCCTGGTAACCACTAATCATCTTTGGTTTCTATATGTTATGGTGACCCCATCATGTGTTACAGAGTAGAACTGCTCCATAGGGTTTTCTTGGCTGTAATCTTTACAGAAGTAGATTGCTAGGCCTTTCTTCATGGTGATGCTGAATGGATTGGAACCACTAACGTTTTAAGTTAGCAAGTAGAGCACAAACCTTGTACTACTACACCCAGGGACTGTAAGGGGCCGTCATGAGTCAGAACTGATTCAGTGGCAGCAGGCGTTCTATAGATTGACTTAATCTGATAAAAGTGAGATCATACAGTATTTGTCTTTTGAGACTGACTGACTTCATTCAGCATTGCTTTCAGGTTGTGGTATCCATCGGGACTTCATTTCTCTTTATGGCTGACGAGTATTCCTTTGTATGTACATTCCACACTTTCGCTATTGTGGTGAGTGCTGCAGTGAATGTTGGTATATAGGTTCCACAGGGTTTTTAACAGCTTATTTTTTGGAAGTAGCTTGCCAGGTATTTCTTCAGAGGGATCTCTGGGTGGACACAAACCTCTAATCTTTCAGTTAGCAGCCAAGTGTATTAACTGTACCACCCAGGGACTCCAAACCAACTGCTGTTGAGTTGATTGCAACTCATGGTGATCCTATATGTGTTAGCATAGAACTGTGCTCCACAGGGTTATCAATGGCTGATTTTTGGGAAACGGATCACCAGGCCTTCTTCCAAGATGCTTCTGGGTGGATATGAATGCCCAGTCTTCTGATTTCCAGCTGAGTGTGTTAACTGGTTATACCCCTCAAGACTCCATTAATCACTGTTGTGTGTCAATGACTCATAGTGATCCTGTAGGACAAAGAAGAATCGACTCTTAGGGTTCCCTAGGCTATAAACTTTACAGGAGACTTGGCAACATAGTGGTTAAGCAATCAGCTGCTAATCAAAAGGTCAGCAGTTTGAACCTACCAGCTGCTCTATAGGAGTAAGATGGAGCAATCTGCTTCCATGAAGATTACAGCCTTGGAAGCCCTATGGGGCAGTTCTACTCTGTCCTATAGATTGCTATATGCTGGTTGATGACACACAACAACAATCTTAAAGGGAGCATCTTTTCTCCCATGGAGCCACTGGTGGTATGACGTGCCCATGTTTTGGTTAACTAAGCACTCAGCACTTAACACTGAGCCAACAGGGCTTTCTTCATCAGTAATTCCAAAGAAAAACCAAATTCACTGTCATCAAGTCAATTCCAACTCATAGTGACCTCTATTAAGTTTCTAAGGCTATAAATCTTTACAGAAGCAGACTGCCTCATCTTTCTTCCATGGAGTGGCTGGTAGGTTTGAGCTACCAACCCTTTGATTAGCAGCCAAATGCCTTAACCCTACACCACCAGAGGTCCTTTCCATTAGTCATCAGAGAGATGTTAATCAAACCACAATGAGATACCACTTCACATCAATTAGGACGGGTATTACCAGAAAAATGAAAAAGAACAAGTGTTGGCAAAGATGTGGAGAAATCAGAACCTCATTCCTGGCCAGTAGGGTTGTAGAATTGTGTAGCCATGGTAGAAAATGGTATGGCAGTTCCTTAAAAAGTTAAACACAGAACCAGGGCTCTGTTGAAAATTTGTATAAGCACCCCAGATATACAGAATCAGAATCTGTAAGAATCACCTGGGGATGTTGTTACAAAGTATATTTTGATTCTATATATCTAGGGTGGAAATGCAAATTATCACCAGGGCTTGAACCAGAATGAACCAGTTCAGAGCCAGGCACAAAACTACCATGCTGTTGTTGTTAGGGGTTGTTGAACGAGTTTCCACTTATAGCAGTCTCATACATAACAGAAAGAAACACTGTCCAGTCCTATGCAATCCTCACAACTATTGCTATGCTTGAGCCCATTGTTACAGCTCTGTGTCAATCCACCTTGCTGCAAAATCTTACTCTTTTTCACTGACCATCTACTTTACCAAGCAGGATGTCCTTCTCCAGGGATCAGTCCCTCCTGATAACACGACCAAAGTCTGAGAGGTGAAGTCTTGCCATCCTCGCTTCTAAGGGACATTCCAGCTGTACTTCCTTCTAGACAAATTTGTTCCTTCTTTCAGCAGTTGATCAACACCACAATTTAAGTGCATAAATTCTGTAGTCTTCCTTATTCATTGTTACCATTTCACATGCATATGAAACTACCAAAAAGACAATGGCTTGGGTCAGGTCCACCTGGTCTTCATAGGGACATCTCTGCTCTGTAATACTTTAAAAAGGGCTTTTGCTTTTGATTTCTTGACTGCTGCTCCTTTGAACTTCATTGTGGACACAATTAAAATGAAATCCCTGACGTCAATCGATTCTTCATTTATTCTGATGCTGTTTACTGGTTCAGTTATGAGGATTTTTGTTCTATGTTAAGGTATAATCCATACTGAAGGCTGTAGTCATTAATCTTCATCAGTAAATGCCTCTTCACTTTCAGCAAGCAAGGTTTTATCATCTGCATATCACACGGCTGTTGATGACTTTTCTTACAAACCTGATGCAGTCTTCTTCTACATAGTCTACCTTCTCAGATTATCTCTGCTCAGACTGAATTATTGTTGTTAGGTACCATCAAGTCAGCTCCAACTTACAGCAACCCTAGGTACATGAGAAGAAAACACTGGCTGCTCATGTGTCATCCTCAATCCTTGCTATACACAAGCCCATTGTTGCAGCCACTGTGTCAATCCATTTCATTGA